ATCTTATTCCAGGTCCCTGCCTGCACCACCCTATCCCATACCACTTTGCTTAACCAGGCCACATAATATCACAGCTCCAAAGTGTAATAGCATCTACCTTCAAGCCTAAATTAATGCATATAAGCTATTGTCATTCCTCTTTCTTTCTAAGCCATTTCACACTATGCAGTCAGATTCATCTCTTAAAATCATGTACTTGACATGTCAAAATTTGCTAAAGAAATAACCCGTAACTGTCCTAGATGAAGTCAGGTGCCAAAGAGACAAAAGAAGTATATGACAATGTTCCTGGCTTCAAGTAGTTTTCAAGAAAATTTGAGAAGCAAGATTTATATGCATGATCTATATAATTCCTGTTTTCAATTTTGTCTAATCTTCTATGTAACACTTCCATTGAGGTTTTGATATTGATGGTTATATATGTTATAACTTAAATTCCATTTTCTTCCAAATCTTCCTTATCTAGTTTAATATTGACCTATTCTTGAATTACAGTTCTATACCTTCGTTTTTCTCTTTAAACAAATTAAACATACCTATTTCATAGTATATTTTAGACTGTTTTATTATCCCTAGTTTTTAGGGTACTAATTTTCTGGGTTGCTCATGAGGATTTGTTTATTTGGTTTACAATTTTTGATAGTAAATAAATAATATTCAGTGGAGTTTTTACCTGAGATACCCCTGTGCTGAGGATTATGAAAGCATTCATATAAAGTGGTTTTGCATTTCCCCTGCTAAGCCTGTAGGAGTTGTACCCATTCCATAATAGTTTCTACATTAATTTCTTAGCTTCTAAACCATAGAGGTAGGATAAATTTGGATCTCACATCCACAAAGAGTGCAGGCCTGAGTCTGATATTTTATGTGTGATTATTTTCCCATTCATGCCCCCTAGCCTGAGGCACACTTCCTTGATGACTTTCCAGGCTAGAGATTGGAGTTTTCTAGCTTCTTTGTCAGGGAGGATGTGGGTTTCTAGCTCCTTGCCTCACACAGGCCTGAAGCTTCATTTCCTGTGCCAACAACAGCATTACAACCTCAGCCCCCCACCCTTAGGTCCAGGGGTTTTATATGTCTATGGACCATTGCTTTTTGCTCTGGCACCTGGGAATTTCCCTTCCATTTGAGTTTACCTATGCATTTCACACATTTTAAAAGTTATATTTTATCAAGCATTTCTGTACTTGGAGGGCAAAGGGAATGCACCTCCATCTGACAAATAAATCAGAAGACCCACTGCTTTTTATTTTTTCAAATGAGGAGAGAAAAGCATGTGAGGACTAAAGGAATGAAGATTTTAAAATGCGGACAGGAAGAGTGTGAAGATTCTAAAAAGAAAGGAAAACAAGATCTCTCCAGAGACACTGAGGATTGGGAGTTCTCTGTATAAAGATATTTTGCCTGTTTGTGTGTTTTTTAATGTTTTATTCTGAAATAATTTTATATTTACAGAAGATTTGCGAAGATCGCACAGAGTGCCCATGTACCCTTCAGCCATCTCCTTCTGATGTTAGCATCTTACCGATCATGGTACAATGATTAAAAGTAAGAAATCAACATTAGCACAAAATCACTACCTAAATCACAGACTTTATTCAGATTTTACCAATTTTCCACTAATATCCTTTTTCCATTCAAGGGTCAGTCCAGGATCCCCCATTGTATTTAGTTATTTTTTTCTCCTTAGTCTCCTCCGATCTGGGACAGTTCCTTAGTTTATTGTCTTTCATGACACTCTTGGTGAGTATCTCTCAGGTATATTGTAAAATACTTCTCAATTTGCATTTGTTTTGTGTTTTTTCATGGTCACATTGAGACTGTGTATTAATGGGAAGGATACCACAGAGGTGAGGTACCTCTTATCAGTGTACCATATCAGGGGTATGCACTGTCGGTAGGTCTGCCCACTGGTGATGGTAACCTTGACCATTTGGTTAAGGTGGTGTCTGCAGTATTTTTTAACTACTGTAAAGTTACTCTTTGTAAATAAAAATATTTGAGGAGGGATACTTTGAAGTTATCAAATATCCATTTCTCCTTCAACTTTTGTCCACTAATTTAAGCATGCATAAGATCTTTTCTGCAGCGACTTTTATCAGTGTTCTAATGATAATTTTCTATTTCCTTCTTTCCTTTTATGCTTAGTAATTGAAATTTTTCTGTAGGGAGTTGTACTTTCTCCACCTACTTATTTATTCAGTCATTTATTTATATAAGTATGTACCTAAGGATGCTTATTTTATTCTTTTTCATAATCCAGTATTTTATTTTGTTGCTGAAATTGTTCCAGCTTTGGCCATTGAGAGCTCTTGTAGGTTGGCTCCTGTGTGCTTTTGATGTGCCCCCATCTTTTTTTGGTACCACAAGATCTAAGTTTCGTCTTGTATCATCCCCGCTCCAGGCCTACAGCAATCACTTTTCCAAGCGGCTTTGTAGTTGTTTTAAACCATAGTGATGTATAGTTCAGAACCCTCTACCCTCATCCAGGGAATGAGAACGGACTCAGAAAAGAAGAAGCTCGAAGGACCTAGGAGAAGTCCAACATTCAAAGATAGAGAAAAGGTTGGGAGACAACTAAGGAGAGAGTAGGAGCCATCAGAGAAGCTTGAGGAAATTCAGAACATGGTATCAGAAAAGCCAAGAGAAGACACCCCTCAACTTAAACTTCAGGGTCCTCCATCAAGTAAGTCTCTTACCTGACCCCTGCCACATCCTTCTCACGATTCCCTCATTAGGAAGACAGGAACTTCCAGCCAGATTTCCTTATTGTCCTGAGCCAACCAAATCCCTAACTCTGATCGAATTGCAGTAAACACAGCCACAACCAACAAATTCAGCCCTATGGACTTTAGACCTTCATCTTTGAAGAGAAATGTTGTCCCCCTTCTCTCTCACACCCAGTCCCACTCACTTTTCCAAAGCCAGGGCAAGTCACAGTTTTTCTTTGACCCTTTTCTCAAACTCTCAGCCCACATTTATTCTTTGCTTTTTATAAATACCATGGTTCTTATCTCTCAATTTAGTACTTGGATTATATTATTTTTTCTAAAATTTTCTGTTTCATATTATTTATTCCCCAACAATATTATAGTTCCTTTAGGTCAGATGGCATACCTCAGACTCTCTGGTATGCTCAGTAGTTAGTAATATCTAACCACTAATAGACATTTAATAAATATGCCAGTTTAACATTCATACAACAAGTCAACCACTGTAGATAGTCATCAAAGAAATAGTTGAACACTGAGAAGATTCCAGGAGCTATCTTATCTATGCAGGAATGTTAAAAAACTACTCCTTAAGATATAAAGTTGGAATAGCTATGCAAATTGCTTATGGCCTCGGTAGTATTACAAGAAAATGTAATCTGAGCCAGGGCAATTCTAATTTCTCACAAGGAAATAATTCGTCAGGATATTTATGGTTTATCTATTAATAAAGTAAGTCACTAAGATATTTTACCAAGCCCTTTCTTGCTTTGTTTTAGAACAACTACCTGATTTATTTCTATTTTTTAAACCAATTACTTGTTATAGAATTATTAGTATATAAAGCTATCAAATTTTCAAAGGACAAATGGGAGTATACTAATGGAATTCATTTAAAAAATAAATCATTATCATTATTTAAAACATAATGCTATTTGTTTAAAAGTCAATAAAATACAGATAAGCAAAAATAAAATAATCACATCTCAAACCAGATACCATTAACATTTTATTATATAACAGATTATATGTACATATATGGCATGTGTGTGTGTGACATGCTTTTGCACAAATTATTTTCTAACACATTTTTTCCTTAAAGTTTAGCATTATCTCATATTATTAAATGATTTTCTACATGATTTCTTTGTGGTAGTGAAAGGAATTTCAGATTGGATGTATCATAACTTACTAAACTAGTCCTATGTTTGGACATTAGGGTGTTTCCAAATTTCCTCTGATACATGCCATGCCAGGATGGCCATTCTTATACTTAATTGTGAACACATTGGTAATTATTTCATTAGCATAAATTTCTAAAAGTGAATATTTCTGTATAAATAGTTTTACATAGTTTAAGTTTTTTTTGTTTTGTGTTGTTTTAATGACCAGTGCCTACTTGCCCAACAGAAAGGTCATGCCAATTTACCGCCCCCCCAGTCATTGGTAGTTAAAACAACTTTTAAACAATATATCATTTCATATTTCTAAAGGACCCATGCATCACACTAATGGTCTTTAAAAATATGGTGAAATAAAGTTACATTTTCTTTTTCCTATTATGGGACTATCCTTTTTCCCTGCAACTTTTATTAATTTTTTAATATTTGGCTTCCTGATTATTTAGTGTGAATTGCAGGAAAGCACAAGGTCATCTGAAATCATACAGTCCAAGGCTTAGATGGCTGCATCTAAGAAGAACAACAATGAAATTTATTAATCAGGCTTCTCTTTATAAATCTGTTTTCAAAAACAATCTCTTATTTTTTAAGTAAGTTTTCTGGCTTTTTTTAGTATTATTAGTACATTTGCAGAAAAGATAATATTTTCCAATTTTATTTCAGATTTACCAATTTTTCTTATTAAAAAAAAAAGAATAAAAGAATCCAGCTCAGCCGACACTTGCATATGCACAAACCCATTGCTGAGGAAGAATTTTTACATTTGAAATGAGAAATAATTTTATTTCCCAGTAGAAATGTGATCATTAGTTATTTATTTATATTTGTATTTATTTATACACTCACTTTTACACAAAGAATTCAAGACAAAAAAAATTTTTTTTGGTTGTTTTGGGGTTTTTTTGTGGCTTGCCAGCTTGGGGATCCGAAACTGTGACCTTTGTATTATAAGGCTGTGTTTTAACCAACTGAGGTAACTGGCCAGACCAGTATTTATATTTTAAATGGTAGAATAACAAATAAAATAATAGGTCAAACCTATTATTTTAAGTAAACCAATACGTCCAAGAAAAAGAGAAATACAAAAATGTCAACATACTAGCTCTGCTTAAATTTAAAATTTGGTTTAATGAATTGTTTGTTCCTATTTGAGGCATACATCTTCATTGCTAATACACATATCAGACATTTCATATAAAACATTAAAATGGCAATTTAATAATTTTCTATTATTAATATTTATTTCAAGAGAAAAATGAAGATAAGTACTTAAAAGAAACAAGTAGCTGACGTATACACACTTTCCCATTTCCATAGATAAGAATCAGAGGAGTAATGTAGGCTAAGACTATTTTTAAGCAACTTTTCAAACAATTGATCAGGCTGCAGTTTTAAAAAGTAGCCCCTTTCCCCTTCGAAGATCTGTACTCCAAGTATAAAATCAACCTACATTTTTTTTTTCCTTACCCAACCAGCATCAGTCATGGGAGACTTTATCTTCACAAGGTTACTTTAAATTGAGTAGTCCTTGAAACTAATACCTTATTCTTAAAGGGAGATAAAGTTGGCATCTAAAAAAAAAAAAAAGAAACACTTTATAGATCCCTGAAGAGACATTAAGAAAGCCAAAGATCGCTCAAGAAGTCTGTATGGCAATAGCACAAGGAAAAGCTATTACAAAACACAACAGTGGGCCGGCCCCGTGGTGCACTCGGAGATGCGGCGCTGGGAGCGCAGTGGTGCTCCCGCTGCGGGTTCGGATCCTATATAGGGATGTGCGCTCACTGGCTGAGTGCGGTGTGGGTGACACCAAGCCAAGGGTTGCGATCCCCTTACTTTCTACTTCCCATCGTCATTAGATATTTTATTGGACTTATTAGCAGTGCTGAAAACCAACCCAAAGTAGGTTACTTCTCATTTTAAAATGAAATGAGTTTATGCTGATAACACAAAAGGTCCAGAATAAATAGCAACCAAGAAGCATACAGCTTCCTTGAATGCTTTTTTGGCTGCGAAAAAGAATGTTGCCACAAAAATCTGTTTTGCATCATCTAAATGCTTGAAACAAGAACACATAATTTAGAAAAAAAAAAAAAAAAAACACAACAGTGCCCACCAGGATTCAGGGATCTGTACACATAATCTCATTTTACTATTTGTAACATTATATTTTCTGCAAGTTGAACAATATGTATTTGGTAAGACAAGCAATGTTGCTTCTTAAGGAAATACTAAGTGAAAGAACTGATAAGTGATTAGTGAAATCAGGTCTATTCTGGTCAAGTATATCACAATATTTATAAATCATATATAAGATTACCAAAGTGCCTACAGGACCACTGAGCAAGCTTGCACTTCTAGAAAAATGCCTCCCAGTTTAAATGCTAACAGAGTGGTTCTGCAAATGTATGTTACACCTTGGGAGCTCCTAATAATGTGGGGTAAAAACACACACGTACACAAGCATAACGCTTTATTCTCTTGTTGTAATGTTCCAAATTCTAAAATGTACATGTTTTTTTGACTGCCATGGGTTGTCTCTATGATACAAGCAAATTACCTGTTTTTCTAGTTTAAATGTTTGAGAGAATTTTTTCATAGATTAAGAGTATGCATTGAAAAAATGAAATCCTGAAACCATAATCATTAGAAACTTTAGGAAAAGGGAACAGATTCGTGTAAATAGGCACTGTGCAACTCAGTAATTCTGAGAGCTTTAGTTCCTCCTTGGTAGAAAATGAATTTTTCCTCTCCAGTAAAAGGATATGGCTACATACTGATTCTTACTGAGGACTTGAAATTAAACATCAAAACAAGCTTCCCTTATATCCAATGAATGCCTGAATAGTCCATCTTTCACTCCATCTCAGTGTGTGCATAATGTCCTATTTTGATTAATGTGCTTCTTCTTTGCTTAACTTGTTTGTTTCTGGTCTTATAGAAGTATTGTGTATTTCCTATGTCTATTAAGTCTCTGACCAGTAAGCACTTTCCTTTTGCTGACTATACACAGAGAGGAGATGCTAAAAGGCCCTAGACTCTTACTACTCAGAGACCAGCAGCCTAGCAACATCTGAAAACTTGTTAGATAATCAGAATGTTGGGCCCCACCCCACACCTACTGAATCTGAGCCTGCCTTTAAACAAGATCCCCAAGGCATGCAAGTACAAATCAAAGTTTAAGAAGCACTGTCCTAGAGCACTTTCACTCTTCCCTGTTCTAGTATTTTCTTCCTGGTTATTCTTCCATTTATAAAGAAATGTAGCTGTGTGAACACTGGCCCATTTTCAGATAGATGTGAAATAAAGGTAATATTTTTAATTTATATTAATATACCTTCCTGTTTATGACCTCCTTTGTCACCTGGAGACATCCACCTTCCGTGTGTGGGGATTAGAATTGTTACAGCAAGACTGTAAAGAAAAAGGGAAAGAAAGAGTTAATGTTCAGCCTACTACATTCTAAATAGAATGTTTTATTCTGCAAATAGATAAATAACTTGAAAGCCAAGTTTTATTAAGAGAAAAAATGTTTCTACCATCCCTATCTTTTCCCATTTTATCATATCACGATGCAGGTGGTTGCAGATCATAAGATTTTTCCACAGAAGATATCTATTCTACCTACTACTTAGGTTATCCATTTTTTCCTTCATAGTTTTATTTTGAAATAATCTTATATTCAAAGAAAAGTTGCAGAGTTCCTTTACCCAACTTTGCCTAATGTTTGTGTCTTACATAGCCATGACACAATAATTGAAATTAAGAAATTAACATAGTACAACATTCAGACTTCATCTGGATTTCCCCAGTTTCTATCAATGTCTTTTCTTTTTGATCCAATCCATCATATCATATTGAATTTAGTACATTAGTCTCCTCCAGCTTGTGATCATTTCTTGGTCTTTCCCTGTTTTTCATAACTTTGATAGTTATGAAGACAGTTGGTCAGGTATTATGTAGAATGTCCCTTAGTTTGAGTTTGTTGAATGTTTTCTCATGATTAGACTATGCTTACAAATTTGGGGGAAGAAAACCAGAGAGGTGATATTAGGCCATGAATGTTTATCCTCAATGTATAAGGATAAGCTGTGGAGGAATAAAAAGCTAGAAGTTTGCTCTTTCTGGTTCCCAGAAGTAAGGCAGGTGAATATGATGATCTCAGGCTTCTGGTTTTCACTGTCTCCTCTAGATATGTTTTCTTGGGACTAGCACGCAGGAAAAGAGCAGCTTTGTTACACCTAGATAGGTATAGAGTGAGCAGAGGCCACCAAGTTAGTGTCTCACTTTCCCAGCTTCAGGTTCTAGGCAGTGGTGTGCTGGTAAATGTTTAACAACTGGCTTTGGGAGGGGAGGAGGTGTGGGAGGGTGGAGCCCTGATCTGTAATGTTTGCCAATTTCCATGATGTAAATACTCCCACTGTGGCTAATTTCAAACCACCAAAGTGATGTCATTGGACACAGAGTTGGGAAGAGCTGTGTGGTATTACAGCATTATATAACATTTCCACCATACACTTACAAATAGACATAGACAGTAGTAAAATGTAGAGCAATAAACAGGAAGTGATGATTTTTGAGTATCAATTATCTTTGTTTTATAATATATGTTTGAATGTAAGTTTACATTACTTAATTTTTAGCAGTGACTGCTTGAACAACTGGCTTGCAAAATTCCCCAAAATTTAACAATCGGCTAAGGTATGAGCTGCCTTCAGCACTTTTCTAGAAGACTCTGATCCTTTGACTCAACACTATACCCCTTGTGGCTCAGGATCTATGGTAGAGAGGTGGCAGCAGAAAGTGACTTAGAAGGCATTCCTGTCTCATCATGGCTTTTGTGTGGGAAGCAGGGATTCCCAGGGTTTCTCACTTCCCCACTGAGACTGCTAGTGGACTGGAAGAGGTCTAGCGAAAAAGAGGCCATGGGGCCTCTTCTATGCCAGGGGAAATGTTGAAGACTATGGTAATAGTGGTAAGGACCAGCACACATCATCCCACAAGATCAGATGAGACCTATTCAAATTTCAGTGGTCCCAATCCCAGGGAGAAGATAAATCCAGCCTCTTTGTAGTAGAGAGTATTGATTATTCATAGGACAGTGCATGACCCAAGCATGCCACAAGGATATAATAAGACCTTCCCTCATCTACCCAGAAGCTATATTATAAGTTAGAAGAAAGAAGGAAGTAGAGGATCTGGGAAAGACTGTTCATTTCCCTAAAAGAGGCTGGGTCATTTATGACAGTATTATACAACGTCTGGTCCAAGGGCCAGAGCCAGTCCACAAATTGTTACTGTTCTGAGGTGAGATAAATACAGGTGAGAGGTTATGTTTAGAAACTTTTATCGTAAGTTGACACGGCCGTGAGATCCCAGTAAGTGATCAGTGGACTCATCTTGTTGAACAGGATATAGACCAGTCCAGGTGTGTTGAACTGGCATGGTGAGTTGCTTGTGGCACAAGCTGAATACTGGTCATGCACATGGCCGTGAGATCCCAGTAAGTGATCAGTGGACTCATCTTGTTGAACAGGATATAGACCAGTTCAGGTGTGTTGAACTGGCATGGTGAGTTGCTTGTGGCACAAGCTGAATACTGGTCATGCACAATAGGACTGTGCATTTGGTCCACAATTTATTGGCAAGATCAATCAGTTTGAGAAGCATTGATCTAAAAGACTCTTTAAATCATCACCTATGGATGCGAATGAAACTCTGAATAGTTTGAATCAGAGGTTCTCAAAGCGTTGTCTGTGGACCACCAATATTGGCATCACCTGGGAACACATTGGAAATGCAAATTATGTGGGTCCATCCCACATATGCTGCATCAGAAACCCCGGGGGTGGACCTAGCAATCTGTATTTTAATAAGCCCTCTAGGTGACTCTGCTGCATGTTTGAATTTAAGAACCTGGTGTGAACACTTAAAGTAAAACACTTATGTTCAAACTGGAGGAGAATTAAGTGTAAATTATCCCTGCTAGACTGCAGTGCTGGAGCCCATGAAGATCAGACTAAGTAGAGAAAAAGAAAGAAAACTGAACTTTCTTTGCATATTTAAATGATATGCAAGTGAGTGAGGCCAAGATGCTGAAGTTGAGTACTTGTAATGGGTGATCAATTTTTATTCTTCTCCACAAGCTTACCTGTACTGCATGTGGCTCCACACTGCCAAACATAGCCCATTTCCCAGCCCACACCAGCCTAGAAGTGGTAAAAAAATTAGGGGCACAGGAATAGTTACAGAAGAGTATTTCTGTAGCTTTACTCTCACCACACTATTGTTGGAGTTCTGGCTTTCTTCACATTCTCTACAACTACTACTATTAATAGTAGGAGACCCCTCTTGGCTACTTTCTGTCATCCATCCCTCTCCCTCTCTGCTGAGATGCCATCCATTCCTCATATCACAGTATATGACCTTCCCTGGTGCTTCTGCTCCTTTCCAGGTAAAGTTGACTTGGTCAACCTGGATATTAGCCATATCACAGCCAAGAAGATATTCTCTGGTCTCTACCTGTGTGACGTTATTTTACTAGGAGATGCTACCCAGAGCTTACAGGATCTTCTAAGGCGGTCATTCCCAAACTCTGATGGGCATACCAATCACTCAGGGCTCTTGTTAATAATTTGGCAGGGCTAGGGTGGGCCTGAGGATCTGCATTTCTAACAAGCTCCTAGATGAAGCCTATGCTGCTAGTTCATGGACAATATTTTGAGAATCAAGGTTGAGAGCAGTGATTTTTGTACTGTTACGCCTTCTCTTCAGGTTTTGAACACAGGTGAGGGAATGTAGTCTTAGGGTGACCAATTGCCCTGGTTTGGCAGAGGTTATCCTGAAAATCCTGTGTCACAGGATACCCCTCAGTCATGGGCAAACCAGGATGACTGATCATCCTAGCAATCTGAACAACTCTCATCTTACCTCCAGCCCCACACACATCTTCTCGCCAACTGACCTGTCCTGCCTGTGTGTCTTGACTTTTTTCCCTCAAGATACACATTTCCTCTGAGGCTCTTCATTTCTCCTGCATACAATGTGCTCCCCTTTGGCAGACCTGTATCCACTAGCCCTAAAGACACAGCTGTCCTTGTAGCCAGTGCAGTTGGCCCAGTCTTAGGAAGAGCTGCCCACTTAAATCAGTTTCGAAGGTTCCATTTAACGTTTCCCCACAGTTGGTCAAGACCAAAAGGCCTACTTACTCCCCTCTCTGCAGAAAGGTTGGGGTCATATTTGACAACGTGCTCTCATATTTTCACATCAACAGTCTCATACTGCCTGGACTCTGCAGACCAAGTAGGTTTCCCCAGTGCCTGGGAGCAATGCCTGCAGTGCTTTGTCTCTTAGGTGATTAAGTGGATATTATCCGGAGTTAGAAAAAACCAAAATCTTCAACTCTGGAGCTTGACAAATACAGTTTTCTAGTACTTCCAATTGTCTTTTCTACATTTGAAGTCATAAATTCCTTTAGGTACAACCTCCTGCTTCATCATCCTAGAAATATGACTCTGATTATGTCCACCCACAGGTGAAAACCTTCATTAGCATTGAATTTACAGCAAAATAATTTCCAAACTCCCCATCTTAGCACAAAGTCATGGCTCTCAAAACTTTACTGGGTATCAGAATGACCTAGAGAGATTGTTAAAAACACCGATAGATGGCTGGGCCCCACCCTGAGTTTCTGATTCAGTAGGCCTGAGTGGGGGACCAGGATTTTTGCATTTCTAACAAGGTCCCAGGTGATACTGATGCTGCCAGTCCATGGACCACGCTGTGAGAACCACTGTCCTACTGAACCCATTCCAACTAGCCAGTGACATTCCTAACACCCAGCTGTAGTTCATGCTTCCAAAGTGAACCCCTTGTATGCTTTCCTACTCCATGCCTTTGTTTGTTTCATTCATTTATTCACTTACTCGTGGATTCATTCATTCAATCAATAGTTCATTATTTCATCAAACATTTTTTAAAGACCAAACTGACTAGCTTTGTCAAGTGCCATCATGAAGTTTATGATACACGGAGGAAATAAAAAAAATATATAACATTTTCATTTACAGGGTGCTTCATGGTTTCCAAAGAACTTCCACATGCAGGCTCCCATTTGATCTTCTTCAGAGTCCTGAAAGACCAATAGGGCAGGGATTATCTCATCTCACACAAGTGAAGAAACTGAAGACCAGGGAGAAGTGGTTCATCCAAGGTAATTCCAAATGTCTTTCTAATCCCAGGCAAATGTTTTTCACCCAATCATATTTCTTCAGTCTTGGCTCATTGTATTCCCTTTCTCCTTGCTGTCTAAACTATATCCTTTCTAAGCCAAACGTCTTTCTAATCCCAGGCAAATGTTTTTCACCCAATCATACTTCTTCAGTCTTGGCTCATTGTATTCCCTTTCTCCTTGCTGTCTAAACTATATCCTTTCTAAAGCCCAAACAGTTCCTCCTCCATAAAACCTTCTCTGGTAACCACAGTTAAAATAATTTTTCCTGATTATGAACTAAGATGCACACCTTCCCAGCGCCTCAACTGGCTCATCCATCTGCCTGAACCCCATCATTTAGGGGTGTTATGGAGGTTTCATTACATAGTCATG